CACTTGGTAGCCCAGGCTGGCCTCGAACTCACAGAGATCCGCCTGGCTCTGCCTCCCGAGTGCTGGGATTAAAGGCGTGCGCCACCACCGCCCGGCTCAATTGCTTTCTTAAGGATTCTACCACATGTAAATTATTTTCTCATTTCCCCCTTTTGATTTTTATATTTTTCTCCCAATCTCTCTTAGTGGGAAAGCCTTGCCTACTAATGTAAGAAAATGTTGTGAGAGAGGCCTGTGAGAGAGGATGATAGCTTTAAAAACTAATAGGTCAGGTGATTATCTACAAATGGGTGACAGCTTCTATAGTACACTTTTTCTGTCTGTAACATGTTACTTGTTGGAGTCACAATCTTTCTGGGAGCAGGGAAGCATAGAATGTGTGTGTGTGTGTGTGTGTGTGTGTGTGTGTGTGTGTGTGTGTGTGTGTAGGTATGTGTGTGTATGTCTGTGTGTGTGTGTATGTGTGAAAACCCACTGAAATTCTCTGAAATGCTTACATTCAAACAAGCATCAGACTCTATCAAATGCTTCAATGCAATTCTTTCAATAGAATACATCCAATTCCATCTTCCCCTCTGTCTGGCCAGTAGCTCTAACAATTGTCTCTTCTGTGATCAGCTTTCTGTTAAGGTGGTCTGGGTGTGGACAATCTTCTTTTATAGGCCCCATCTTCCTCCACCTTAGGTCAGAGAAGTATTTACAAGATGCAGGAAGTGGTGGTGGTGGTAGGGAGTTGGCCATTTCTCTCTGGCCAGGAGCTGATGTATGCTAACGTTAACAGAAATCTAATCACCGAGGCAGTGTGTTTTGCTGAAAGGCCTCCAAACCACCTGACTCATGTCTTCCCTAGGAAAGAAATTCCGCTGTCAAGTGTCACCTGTCAGAGGCTTTGCAAAGCATTTTCCTCGAATATGAAATGGTCCTTGCCTCTTTTCATAGCACTTTAAAGCGAGACATCAGACATTCCACATCATCTGCTGAGCTGGCCAACAACCCTATCCCTGAATCTCTGAATACATATTCTGGTCTGCTGACACCACCTGGAATGTTTAGGTCCTGGGAAGTCGAATAACACCATTTAATCTCATGCTCCATCTCATCAGGAACTGCCTGGGTCCAGAGGGCAGATGGATATGTCATGGGCATTCTTAAATGCAAATCTAGGAGCTTCTATTTTAGAATCCCTAGTCTGGACCAAGTTTCTCTCCTGTTCCAGGGTTGCCTGGGGCTAGAGGAGAGGTGTCAGCAAGCAAGACAGGCTTGGATTTCTGTGAGTTAATGGACATTTGGGTACAAGTCCTTTATTTTAAAATGAATGGTAAATTTTGGCCTGAACTTTTGGTATTATTTTATACCCTGCTCCTGAGAAGCAAAGAGATAGCAGTCTAAAATTTTCTCCCATCCCTCTTATTGCATATTTTTGCCTCTCTGTAAGCATTAGGGACACAGGTGGAATATGTGTATATGCATAGAATAAAAAACTCTTTAGTTCATAAATGTTCACTTTGGTTAGTGGGCATGACTTTCCTTTCCCTTGGCTGTCAAATTTGATGCTCTTTGCTTTGGAATTCCAAATGTGATTGGGCCCAAAGGGTGATGATGTAATTGTTATTGTATGTCTGCAGATCTGGAACACTTGTATACATTGATATGCAAGAAAGAAATTAGAGATGATCTGAAACTAGCATGTAGAAAGCAGTTTTACATTAATGTGAATGATTCCAGGTCAACATATGGCCACATAACCACACACTCCTCAATGAAAGCAGTAAGAGCCAGCAGTGGATGGTGCCTGAGCACCATTCAGTGAGGGGAGCACTATGGAGGTAGGGACTGGTCCTGGGAATGTTGTCTTCTCAAAGCAACTTTTCATTAAAGACCATAACACTCCCTATGAAGCAGAACTCCCAGCTCTTAGGCACCTGGAGTGCTTCCTGGCTTCTTGGTGAGGAGGTAAGGGGAGTGAGTGTGGGAATAGTAATGGCTGGACCAGACATTCTGTGACTTTTCTTATGTTACAGTCCATTTGTAGTTGGTTAAAAAAAATCAATTTTAAGCAATAAACCACCCAGAAATCAGAATTTATCCAACCATCATCATGTAGCCCAGACAACAATCTGAGATTTTAAAACTGAAAACTCACTTTTCCTTGTCTTTCCAAGGTAGCAGCATAAATGCTTGCTTCAAACAAACTCCAACTCTTGATGTGGGTTTCTCTCTCACCATTGAAAATTGCCAGCACTCAGGAGGCAGAGACAGGCAGATCTCTGTGAGTTTGTGGCCAGTCTGGTCTACAGAGTGAGTTCCAAGATAGCCAGGGCAGTTACACAGAGAAACAAACAAACAAACAAACCAAAAATCCAACTTTGCATGGTTGGAGAGCCTGGAAAGCCAGTTTCTCAGCTGGCAGACCTTTTGATATCTTGTGTTCTTTGCGGCCCCCCCCCCCCACTTTGAAGTACCTTTTGCTTATGAGTGAAGTGGTCTTGGGCTTGGTTCTCCCTGTTGTTGCCATGCTCTGTAAATGAATGGAGGTTTTGTGGAGGGGATGCTGAAATTGATCTGGGGTGTTGGGTTACCCCACCTTTTTATTCAGCTTTGAGTTCTGCACCCCTCCTCCCTATGTTAAATGATGTTCACAACACAGTCAGAAAAGGCACAGTGACAGATCAGCACTCGAATGTCTGATGACATTCTCCACTTATGGTGTGTGCCGATTTACATGCAGGGGGTCACCCTCTATTTACTTTTTCAATGGACTTTAAGGAGAAAGCATGGTTTAGGGAAATGAAAAACTCTGCACATTTTTCAGTTTAGTTTGTCCTGCTGCTATCAACCAGTCTCATTTCCTACCGAAATAAACCAGAGAAATCACACATGATGTCAGACAGAGCTTGGGGACACTCAGTGAATGAGCTGGTCCCACGTGAAGCTGAGCAAAATCAGTAAATCATATCAGAGCGACTGCTTCAGAGCAGCATAGGGAAACTATGGAATACAGTCTCCAGTGTGCTCGGAACACTGGAGTCCCAGGTGGGATTATGATGGGAGGAAGGACATGGATGTTGCACAGATCTACACCAAATTCAGGACACAGGACTTGGAAACCATTCTGGGGGGTAAATGGGTAAATGCCTCTGCAAACAAACCCAAACTGCCTCAATCAAGCACTGGGAATGATTCTTAGACTGCAGCCCTTGGTGACCACACTGAGAAATGCTCTAAGGAGCTACGCCCTTAGGTTCCCATCAGTGGCAGCTCCCACTGAGCACCTCTGCTGGACGGTGTTTCTCAGCACACATCTCAGCTCTCTTGGCAGGACTTTGGACTGGATGTGAGCCCTTGGCATTAAAGCATGTCAAATGACAATCATGGCTAAGATCGCCCTTGTTCTTTTGATGATAATGGGCCATGCACTGGAACAAGATAGGCTCAGTTTATATAATTTTGCTGTCCTAGAAAAGCACTAATTTGGTTTTTCATTCATATCATCTACTTGCATGCTGGGGCAATACAAGAAAAAGCAAAACAAAACAAAACAACCTAACCTTCATCAGTTCCCCTTTGGTTACCACCCGGTCTGAGTTTTACCTCTGTCTTAAGGAATCCCATGGGTCTCAGTCAGAGCATCCCAGTGGGGATGTGCAGATGGGTTCTGTTTGGCTTGTGAGAGTATTTTAGAGGTTCTAACAGGGGCTGCTACAGAGTCCCTCTATTAAGCCCCCCTCTCTGCAAACTAGTAAACTAAACAGTACATCCAAAGCAGCCTGGAGATCACAGGAAAAAAATGCTTTGCCTACCAATTCTGTTAATTCACCTTTTGCACTTGAGAGGCAAAGTACAAACTGAAGGTTGAAGGTTAATGCCCCTCTTCAAATAGGTACTATAAATATGCTAGAGCTATCCCTGAAAAGATGCATTTGCACTTAAATATATATGTCTTTATATATATATATAATTTTTCTTTCTGTTTGTGTACAGTCATATATTACTCTATAGGTATAGGAGGAGAGGTATAGTACAGAAACAGGCAGGATTTGTATGCTCATGTGTATATATATTTATAATATTTATATTTATATGTATGTATAGCCTCTGTCCTCTTTTGTGTCATCACAATGAACGTACCTCCGACCAGCGAGGAGTACCTGTCAGTGGTGATGGAGAGATGGTTCTCTTTGTCTCTTACATGGAGTCATTTCAGCAGGCAAGGGTGAGTTGCCTGTGACGTGAATGGCCCCATGAGAATCCATCCTTCCTCTAACTCTCCAAGGAGGGACCCTGGCCTCCCAAGGCTGTCCACAGGCTGCCCCTTCTCAAGACAGCATGTAGCCTGGAACCCAGAGCCAGGAGGGACCATCCACGTGGTTGGTTTAAGATATGGCTTTTCCACTAGATGGAGACAGGGCACTCGAGCACTTTGTCTTCCAGGAGGACGCTGACCACCAGGAACACGAAGTAGAGGCCAAACATGATGAAGCCCAGTATTTTGTTCATCCGCCATTTGCAGAGGGCGATAGAGAGGATGACGAAAAGCAACATGATGAAGAGGAGGACGATGGCGCAGAAGAGGCCGTTGCTGCTGACAGTCACTGGCTTGAATCTGTGGATGATGGTGTAGAGGAGCCAGGGCAGTGGAAGCCTGAGAGGAAGAAAGGCAGGCAGGAGGGGGGGGGGATAGCAGTCAGGCGTGGGGAGGAAGCGCTGGAAGATGACCGTCTATGGCTTAGGAGGGTGATACTTTCGGGTCACTAGGACAAATGACTGGCCCAGGAGACTATGGAAAGAAGTCAGGAAGACCTTTGGAATCCTGACCAGTTTCCTGACTCATTTCTTCTCTGGCAGACTACCTCAAAAATGTGACTGCTACAGGTGATGTCTGAATTTGATTCACATCAGTTTTTATTTTCTTCCCAGGGGAGATTACAATGTGCTCCCAGTCCTGGAAAGGTGAACCAGATTTGCACGGGGTGAAGGAGAAGAGGACAGCAGAAAAAAAAAAAGGTGTAGGGATGGGTGGGGAATGCAGAGAAAAGACAATCTAACCTTCAGAACGGAGACAGAGAGGCGAGGACTTCTTTGAGAACCTAAGATGCAGTGAGGTTGCATGATGGTGGTGGGGACCAAGGTACAATGTGGCAGTCTGAAGTTTATTCTGGGAAAGATGCTGACCATCATTTATTAAAAAGGGTCTTGGGCTGGGCATAGTGGTGTATGCCTTTAATCCCAGCACTCAGGAGGCAGAGGCAGGCCGATCTCTGAGTTTTGAGGCAAGCCTGCTCTACAGAGTGAGTTCCAGAACAGCTAGTACTACATAGTGAGATACTGTTTCGAACAAACAAACAAACAACAAACAAAAGAGGGTCTTATATTTATGATGACTTAAAACACTTTATTATAAAATTTCCTACCGATTTTCTTGCTTTGGACTGGCCTCTGAAATCTGACAACACCCATTGTTGCTAATCAGAGTGATGTCTGTGACATACACCAGGATGAGTCATCACTGGGAACACACAGGAGTTAGAAATATGGCTGAAAATACCTGGTTTCAGTGGTGTGTTGCCACCTGGAGGCAGCTCTGTGGCATGCAGACAGTTACTGGCTAGAGTATGGCTAGTTATGGTTCTGGGATGTGGGGGAGGAAGTAATCTTTTGAAACCCCCAATTTCCTAATGGAAAAGCAAATAGGACGTAAGCAGGATTTCAAAAACAGCCAATAGGTTCTGAAAGAAAATGTGTGTGGAACTAGAGCCCACATTAGGTATGTATTTTTGAATTCCCAGGGCTAGCATATGCAGACCCCTAGGCTCTTTGCTGCTCCGGGCAGAGCACAAGTGATTGACATCATGGCCTGAGATGACCAGCACAGGTGCTTTGCTCACTGGAGCCTGGGTGGGAGATGCTTACTTCAGTGGCTCTTGCTGGACTGGGGGAAACCAAAACACTTTACCCCCACTGAACTCTGGACTACAGCTGGATCTTGAGCATCCCCTTAAGGCCGTCTGTTAAAGGTTTGGTCTCCAGCCTGAGGCTCTTAGGAGGTGATGGAATCTTTAGGAGGCGGGATGGAAGGAAGCTAGGTCACTGGGATCGTGATCTTGAATGGGATTTTGGGACTCTGTTCCTGTCGTTTTTGTGGCCACGAGGTGAACGGGCCGCCTCTGCCACGCCCTCCCACTGTGATAAGCTGGCTGCCCAAAGCAAGAGGGACAAGAGGCCACAGGCTGACGCTTCTGAAGCCACAAGTCAAACCATTTCTCCTTCAGGGAGATAGAGTTTGGATATTTGTCACTGGGGCAGGGAGCTGACCAAGCCACAATCACACACATGCACATGTTCACAACTAATCACGGGGGGCAGGGAGCTGAGCTACCCACAGTTACACACATACACATGTTCACAACTGATCACGGGGGGTGCAGGGAGCTGACCAACCCACAGTTACACACATACACATGTTCACAACTGATCACAGGGGCAGGGAGCTGAGCTACCCATAGTTACACACATACACATGTTCACAACTGACCACGGGGGGGCGGGGAACGGGACAGGGAGCTAACCAACCTACAGTCACACACATACACACATGCACAACTGATTTTAGTAAAGTTGAGGTGGGTGGTGCTTCAGATAGTTTGTGAAAACTGTTTTTGGAGAGTGACATTTTCCTCACGTCTTGATCTATCAACGCTATTGTCAGTGATCAAGCATAAGGAGAGAACGAGCCGCAAATGCAACTTTAATCAGAAACATGATCATTTCAGTCTCATTTGAGGAAAAAGTTGGGGGTCTTTTTATAATTTCTAGCAATAAGGAATGAGTCAGATAGTGCGTAAGCCAGTGTAGTGTTATGTGGCTATTTAAAATCATGAGCTTAGAGATCGGGACTACTGGGCAGCTGGAAGGGTGCTTGCGTAGCATGCAAGATGCCCTGGGTTCATCAGTATTGCCTAAGACAGACATGGCGCCTTAATCCCAGCCCCTGGGATGTGGAGGGCAGGAGGATCAGGAGTTCAAAGTCATTCTCTGCTACATAGGCAGTCTGAGGCCAGCCTGGGCTGCACGGGACCATGACACAACCAAACTACCAAACAACAAACTCTGTAAGCCTTACAGCACTAATAGGAAAATACTCATGATGTAATTTTAAATTCAGTCTTTCTTTCTTTTCTTTTTTTGAGTCGGGGTCTCACGTGGGCTGACTGTGAACTTGCTATTTGGCTGAGGATAATACTGAACTTCTGATCCCCCTGCTTCCACCCCTCATTTGATATCTATGGATTGAAATGCTGGGATCAAATGTAAAGTCTTGTATTTAATTTTAATTAAAAAACGAATGGCACACATCAAACTAGCAATGTAATTTCAATCATGCAAAATGCACATATTTTGAGTGGTTGGTAGATCATCATTGATTTCTATATGTATCTTCTAAAAACTTTTATATACTACTTATATGTGCAAAAGAAAATGCTGGCTACAGAGAAATTTTACACTCACTATATTGTTAACAACACACTCAGTGTCCTGGCAATAAAAACATAAAATTAAACAAATTTTGGAAAAGATTTTTTTTTGAAAAGAAATATATAAAATATATCAACACCCATTAAAATATTCAAAGTATGTAGTCTGTTAATGCTGCTTTAAGGGATTTATGCTAATGAAATAATTAAAGAAGAATTTTCTACATAAAGGTGTGGTGATATATTGTGTACCTCAAAAAGCTTACCTGGGGATCAGAGGCCAGAGTCAGCCACTAAATTAGACATAGAGGTCAGGCAGTGATGGCACATACCTTTAATCCTAGCATTTGGGAGGCAGAGATCCATCTGGATCTCTGTGAGTTCAAGGCCACACTGGGAACAGAGCCAGGCATGGTGGCACACGCCTTTAATCCCAGAACTAGGAAGGAAGTAAGATGGCAGGACACAGAAAGGTATATAAGGTGTGAGTAAACAGGAAGTCTCTCTCTTGAGGCTGAGGATTTCATAGAGGTAAGAACGTGGCTGGATTGTTCTGCTTTTCTGATCTTTCAGCTTTCACCCCAATATCTGGCTTCGGGTTTTATTTTTTATTATAAGACCTTTTAAGATTTGTGTTACATAAAGGTATTCATAAAAGCTCTATAATAGCATAAAGCAAAGAAAGAAGAGAAAAGGTCCATTGAAAGACACTGGTTAACCAGGAAGACAACAGGATAAAACACCTGGAGTCACAGTGTTGGTTTCAAGGGCTATAAAAGCACTGAGCAGAACAGTGCATGTGGCCTGCTGGATTACTAGGAGAAGCCACTTTGTGCCAGGTTCATGTGGCTTTAAGTTGGAAAAGATAAGTGACCTCCAAGACAGCAAAACTGAATATTCTCTAAGAAAAATTAATAAATCTTTGCAGAAGATAAAAATTAAGGGCTTTTGGTAGGAGAACCAGGGAAGATTATGAGAGACTTTCCTTTGTTATTATTTATATATAATTTAGTAACAATGAACAAAGAGAATGTTGTAATTTGTCAGAGTATGTACCTTTGGAAAATATGACAAACATGTTTATCTGAATACTTACAATTGTAGTAGACTTTTTTCCTTTTACACTCTAGGACATTCTCCATCCTTCTCCCTCACTGGACCCACTCAGGTTAGTGAAAATTTGTAAGCAGTAGGACTGACAAATATAGTTTATGCCAGAACATCTTCCATCAAAACACACCCATTTATCTGTTCATTCTGGAAGCACTTGTCAGACGCTACCCTGATTAGACAATGGGTTGAGGCTATGTTGAGTTCACTAGAGGGATACTTGAAGGGCTCGCAGACTGGCAGGAAGAAAGAATCATAATGGGAATAAAATATGCAATGTCTAGAAGAGTAGGAGCCCCTGGATTTGAACAGACTCTGGAAAGAGAAGTCAGACTTCCCTGTAGACAGATGAAGAGGCTCCTCAGTGGGTAGAGTACTTGTCCTCAGAGACCCAACTCTAATCCCAGCTACCTTATTTACCTGCTGCATTAGCTCTGTGCTCTCCAGTTTCCATATTCAGAAATATGGTTGATAACACAGAATCCACACGACTGTTGTGTGTTTTAATTTGCTAACTGTGAACACTAAATTAACAATGACAAATGTATGTACAATGGCTTAATAAAAAGGAAAAAGACAGAACAACATTCAAAATGTTCAATGAGAAAGTGGATGTATTTTAGCGAATTTCCCGATTCCAGGGTCAAGAGACCTGTCATCCTGGGAGCAGAGAGACTCTGTGACTTAAGTTTCTCAGGAGCTGACATTTAGGGTCACTTGTCAACTACTTCTGACAAGTTTGATGAAATGGGAGGGATAACAGAGTCCCTTCCAATCTGGCTCACTACAGATGATTCCTACTGAGAATTTCTGTTTGCTCAGCTAGAGGGAAAGAGCTCATCTTCTGTCTTTCACAAAACCTGGGTTGCCAGCACTTTCCAAGCAAAGAGACAGGATGTCAATGCTGGGCCTGGGTGTGTCCTAAGCTGCCTTTGAATCCAATCTTACCTGGTAGAGTAGAAAAAAAATACCATGAAACTGCCAGAGTACCTCAGTTCTACCTGGGCAGTGCATATTCATAATTCGTGGTAAGCACAGTTATGTAAGTGAAATTCTTACTTTCTAGAACATTCTGTATGTAAGTATGTGTTTCTGCTGGTTTAGGGATGACTTGGTTTTATTAAGTTCCCTAAAAACAAAATCCAGCTGGTAAAACAGAATGGTGCTCCTAGGCGTAAGTTTTGGTTGGCACTTGGGTGGGTTTTGGGTTCAGGGAGCCAGCTCAAGTTTCTACAGCTTCTAGGAAGACAAAGACAGGTGGAGCTGGTGTGCATGCTCATAGAATACCATACTCACCCCACAGTGATGTCAAAGATGTTGCTTCCAACAGAGCTGGACACGGCCATATCCCCCAGCCCTTTCCTGGCCACTATGACACTGGTGATAAGATCAGGGATAGAGGTTCCAGCAGCCAAGATGGTCAGACCCATGATCTCTTCACTAATGCCGATGGTCTCTCCAACCTGGATATCACAGCAAGGACAAATATGAGGGCTGGAAGTCACAGAACCCAACATTACTATGTGACCTCTTGTTAATGAGTCCCCCACTCTGTTTTGGAGTAAGTGGTGATGTAATAAAGAAGAGCAAGCCATAGTCACTGATGAAGGAGTTTATGCACTTTAATATCCATACCCAGGACATCATCGATGTGCACATGAGGCTTAAACAGACTATTTCAAATAATAAAGAGCTGTAGAGAACCTGAGTGCAGCCACCACACTTTGTCTTCTAAGACTATTGGGGGAGCTGCAAGATTCATTTGAAAAGCCAATGGACTTAGAACCTAAGGCCAGTACCTGACAATGTCAGCGAGTTTCCAAGGCCCTTCAATCTACTATTGAGTGTCAAGATAGTGTCCCGATTTTTTCTTAATACCTCCAATTATTTCTATCACTCTTAAACACCTATAACCTCTACTGTTTCCACAGGGAACATGACATTGAGTGAACCCAGGTTTAGAAATATGAAACTAAATCAACAAAACAGCTATGTAGAACTAACAGCAAGAAATCAGAGGGTCTTGGTCCCACGGCTGCCTTAAGGACTTGACCTATTGTTAATTGTTCCCTGTATAGTGTCTTGACCTCCTGCTTTCTTAGCTATCAAGTAGGAATAACAATACTTACCTTACAAGGAGGTTATGGGCTAAGTGATAGTTTTCAGGAAAGCCCTTGTAAATAGTACAGCATTATTGAAAAGTGAGAAGGTGCAGTATTTTGTTTCGCTATGGTCTTTGCTTAAGACTGCTGCTTGTGTTTGGACAGTTGGTTTAGCCTCAGCTAGACTCTCCACCCATCTATCTATCTATCCATCCATCCATCCATCCATCCATCCATCCATCCATCCACCTATCTACACTGGGGATCAGACTCAGTGCATTGCACATTCTAGGCCAGCACTCTACCACTAAGCCACATATCCAGCCACGGTTTCTTTGAGATAGCATCTCACTATGTAGCCTAGGCTAGCTTTGTACTTGGGATCCTCTTGCTTCTATTTTTCTGCCTCCTAATTCTAGGATAGTAACTGTAAGCTACCACACATATTTCCTTTGTTTCTTGAGCACCCTATTTTTGGGGGGACTTAAAAAAAACTTACATGTTTTCTGGAGCTGGTGAATTATTGTTCTTAAAAATTTTAGACAGTGTTTTCCAATAGCTTACTTTATGACATCCAGGGTTTTTTTTCTTTAAAAAATAATTTAATAGGTAAAATAACATACAGGAATAAATGATTTTAGGGAATAGAATCTCCTTTTTGATTTATAAGTACATAATATCTTAGTTCCTGGTAACTTAAAAGCAGGCTTTTATTTTGGCAGTTTGCTCCCAAGTCTATTGAGCCGACTCAGTCCTCCAGGCACAGAGATTCACTGCCTGCCCCCAACTGGAAGGTAAGTCCCAGGGCAGGCAAAGACACTTGCCACCAAGCCTGTGACCTGAGTTAGATCTCCAGGACCTACACAGCGGAAGAAGAGAAGCAGTTCCAGCACACTGTCTTCTCTCCACCCTCATACCCACTAGTAAACACTTAAAAAACAAAAAGAAGTAATCTACATGCAAGCAACATCTGGACTGTGGCTATATTATGTTAGAATATTAGGTCATCAAAATTTCTGTTTGAGCTACTGACTTGATTTTCTTTAAGAAAAAAATTGTTAAATGAGGGGCTGGTAAGATGGCTCCAAGACCATCTTCCAAGACCGCTTGCTTCCAATCCCGACCACCTGACCCCCAGAGCTGATACACTGGAAAGAGAGAAGTGACTCTGGAAGTTGTCCTCTGACACCCACGTGCATGCCGTGGCATGTGTATGCTCCTTTCTGCCCCAATACATAAAATCAATGAAACAGTTAATTCTATCTGTCTTGGGATTAGGGCAGGATTTCTAAGTGTTTCTGAAGTAGTCCTAAACATACCCATGCCATATTGTACTGCATATTTTCATGATGTAGTGTTCTCAGGCAAGTCTAAAAATACAATAATGACCAACTCTGAAGGACATGGAGGATACGCTCTGTCCAGCAACATCACATATTCTGAGACTCAGTTGTTCAGGCAGCAACAACAATCAAGTCCCTCTGAGGAGTATACAGACATGCCTTCATCCTTAACAAATGGTTCAATTACATACACACCAAAGAATTGTTTTTAAAATAAATTTATGATTGATCATGAGCAAATGTTTGACTTGTGTATTTGTTTTATAGGGCAATACATCTGGGGTTGTGTAAAAAATTTCTTGGGCAAGAAGAATTGTAAGAAGAAACAGGTTAAGAAGCTGCCTGCCGTAGCTCCAGGAGCCTACTTGCCGCACAAATGAGTTGATCTACTCATGCTGGTGATTTCCCTGGGCAACAGGAGTGCCCTGTTTGAGCAAAATGCTCTCCTTCCTGCTGACTAAATGATTTTCACCCTAAGTATGCTGCAATTGATTTGATACATTCTTAATAATTTAAATTCTTAGAGGGAATGCTATCACAGTGACCATTTAAAGATACACCATTAATATTTGGAGTTTGAATGCCATTCCTGGCAGGAGAGTCCAAAACTGAAGAGAAGCATGGTGGTGTGGTTATGGACATGGGTGAGTCTCCTACAGCCCGGGATACCTTCCAAGTCTCTGATGAGGCTAGCTTTGAGTTCCTGATTCTCCTGCCTCTACCTCCCAAGTGCTAGGATTCCAAACATGTGCCACTCTGCCTGGCTGCTTGGCCATTTTTTTCTTGTCAGCTTTAAATTCAGTTCCTTTATCTGCATATTGTAGCTAATGATTGTTCACCCCCAACCCCCATAGCATCTGAATCTGTGTGCAGGATTGAAAACAAGAGTAGAAAGACAAAGGGATGTGAACGGTCCAGCATGGAGTATACACTCAGCAAACAATGGTTTCCACTCTCATCTTTGAGAACAGAAGCCCCTGAGTCTCACTCACTCAAGTTTTCAAGCACTAATCACTGAGATCTTATCTGGGGATCAGCATTATGACTGGCACTGAGTTAAAAGTGACAAAAATGACATCGTTACACTTGTAATTGAAGCTCAAGGACGAACATTTTGTCTTCAGGACCTTTCTTAATAATCATTGTTAAAAGGCTGGTGAGGGTGGGGAGGTGGCTCAGTGGGTAAGAGCAATTATTGCGCAAGCGTAAAGACCTGAGTTCAGATCCCAGTCATGCATGAGAAAAGGCTTGCAACTCCAGCATGGGGCTTTGGGGCAGAGACAGGAAGAACACTGGAGCTTGCTGCCTGCCAGCCTAGCTGAGAAATAGCAAGATATAGGTTTAGTGAGACACCCTGTCTCAAGGTCATATAAGGTATGGAGCAATAAGGGAGAACATGGAAGACTTCTGTTATACCTATCATACAGACTCACACACCTATGTCCATACATGCATATAATACACACACACACACACACACACACACACACACACACACACACACACATACACACACAGAGCTAGGGACAGTCCTGCTAAGTTGCCTGCCCAAGACAAAATAAAGACACTGAGGTGGGCAGAATCTTGACTTTCTTCGCAGCCCTGGTTGGCCAGGTTTTAGATGATAGACAACAAGAAGCAGCCAGGTTTGCCTCTCTCCACATAGCTGTCTTGATTTCTCCACATGCTGATTTGATTTCTGACCACCGAGATAGGGGAGTAGGAAAACCCAGTCCTGAAATGTAACGTGTCTGTACCACACTCAGTACTGTGACAGTTTCAAAAGGCAAACACATTGATTGACCACGTGACAACCAAGGCCGGAGACAAACCAAGCAGACGGGTGCCACCGGCAGTCTTACCTGGTGTGCCCACCACACCATCAGGTAAGAGAAAACTGCGATCCAAGTGATGGAGCCAAAGAAAGTGATAGGGAAGAACTTCCTGGAAGCCTGCAAGACAACCAGAGGGAAGAGTGTCAGCACTGCCCTCTGTGGTGGAGCGGCAGTCCAAAGCTAAAGCCGTCTTTGCCATCGCCATGATCTCTCTCACATTTCTTACTTCTTGGTTGGATTACCAATCAAAAGACGCTACCTGCCCCTAATCAAGCTGGGAGAGGAAAATTCATTCTTGGAAATTAAAATTGGTGGGAGCTGAATGGTTGTAGAACTAGGGAAGAAATCTCTCTCTCTCCCTTCCTCCATCCCTTTTCCCTTCCCTTCCCTTCTCCCATTTCTTTCTTTGAAACAGGGTGTCATAGCCCAGGATAGCCTAGATGGCCCAGAACTCATTATGTAGTCCAGGTTGGCTTCAGATCCTACCTTCCTGCCTCAGCCTCCCATGTTATGACATGTGACACTGTGTTAGGCTCTGGAAGTCACTTGAGAGAATGTCTGTTCATACCTGTAGCTAGATGCCCCATGTACCCTGCTCCTGTCTTTTATAAGGTCTGGATTTTCTGTTATTCCTTCTGTTAAACATTTTGCATCCTCCCTTTATCTCTTTTTCAGTTTGTTTCCAAGTTCACCTGAATCAGGCCATCAGAATTTACTGCTGGCAAACCATGTGTCATGGTAATCTATATGCCAAAACCTCTTATGTGACTGATTACATGAAAAAAAATGGGAAGGATTAGGAAGTTTGGAAATAGATTAATTCACCTTAGGGTCCCATGAATTATCAGGAAAGCCACCACCACAGATGGCTGGTGATGGCTAGTCTCCAGGACACCAACCACATCCATCAACTGAAGTGGACAGAGGTGGAGATGCCAATCAGGGTGATCCGCACTAGGGTTGGGCAGGTCAGACATCATTCTTGGGAATGTGTTCTCTCCAGTGTGCCACTCTGATCTACATTACAAGTCCCATTCTGCTCCCAGCACTGGACTTCATGTCATCTTGGGCTTGTACAGTGTGATCACACTCAGAGTTCCATTAGATCATCATCAGTAAAATTCTAAATGTAGTTTTTCAGGGCCAATAAGATGGCCCAGTGGGTAAAGGCACCTGCTGCCTAGCCAGACCATCCGTGTCCCATCCCTAGAACCCATGTAGTGAAAGGAGATACCCAACTCCTGCAAGTTGTCTCTGACCACATGGACCAAATAAATGAATGAACAAAGGAATGGATACATACATAAGTAATACATGCAGGATTTCTTACTCAATCCCATTCCAGGGAAATCATGGCTTGCACTGAACTAGTTTCTGCTGATTTCCTTGATGGGAAACATGGGACATACTTAGATAACAGAATGCTGTTTGAGAGCCCACCACCTATTCCTGCCAACACTTTTAATCTCAAAGCTTTTCTATGCCAAGAAAACCACACACTGTGCTTTGATAATGTCACCCAGTTTCTTTCAGGGCAATGACTCCTACAGTTGATGTAGACAGCGGCTGTCTCAGCTGTCTGAAGAGCTGGTCTGGGGTAGTCACAGAGAGACTACTCTGCCACAGCATTTGAAGGCTCATTGGAAGAAAAAAGAAACTCGTGTATGGCAATCTTTTAAATCTGAAGCACAATGATAGGTAGGCTCTATAGTACCAGACCAGGTTTTCAATCTCTGTAAATTTCAAGCGTTGAGTAAATCTTTTGATTATCATTCACTCAGCCCTTAGACTCTACACGAATCTTTTCTCTCTTGACATGACTGTTGCTTGGCGGGGGGAAGGCATTCCCTGGGGTGACTATAAGACCAAATGGGCATGCTCAAGTGGGAGAGGGCATTATGTCATAGCCAAAACTCACTCTTAAAATGTTTCCCTATGCTCCTTCTTCTTCTTAGAAGAAACGTATTTTGAATAAGGACTCTGGTCTGTCTTGGAGACCTGAGCACTTCAGTGGGTGATGGGAAAAACACTTTTTTTTTCAAAGTGGAGCCTACACTTTTGCTTCTCAAACCAAATCTTTAGAAGGCTAGGAGTTGGGTTCTCAAGCTAAGATTCCTCTAGCCAGAGAAGATGCCAGGCTTGCCCAGGCAGGGCACTGAGCTGACTGGACTTCCCAGCTTTTTTTTTTACTTCTGATTGTGAGTCACTGTTTCAGGATTCTAAATGGGATGCAGGTTTCAGTTTCTCAGGGTCATGCTCTGTCATAGGAAGAGAAGGGCGACTCTGGCCACACAAGGCCACCCCTGACTCCAGCATCAACTAGATTAGGGTTCTGAATGTGGCATGAGAAGCACAGAGAACTGTTATCTACTTTGTGGTGAGACATCCATACCTCATGGAGCATCTTCTCAGGCTGTTCTACTTCCAGGCTCATTTACTTACGACATGTATTCTTACTGTTTGTTTTCATTTAATACATTTTAAATTTCCCCCTTGCATATCTGTTGAGATGACATTGTCAGTTGGACTCAAAATACGAAGATTTCCTTATATCACTGAACATTCCCAGCCAAATGGACAAAGCCAGAGATGAGACAAAGGACATAAAGACCCAAATGCAAATCAATCCATTAGTGAAAACCTGCCCAATTCAATATATCTGATACTTATGATTCTTAAGATACCAGTTAATAATTAATAGGCATAAAACATCAAATGTTGAATTAGAGGCTTATTCAAAAAACACTAGAAACAAATATTCTTAGTGAATTTCAAGGTCTTCATCATCGACTAAGAGCAGGTAAAGATTGGGTACCTACTCTATATCCAGACTAGGGGTGGAATTCAGGTCAGCTGACTACCCAACGCATGTGCCTAACATGTGTGTTTTACCAACACTTCCTGAAGAAAATAGGGCCCAAACTGCTCAAAATACACCCAGCCACAGGCAGAGCAAGCACCATCATCATCATCATGCCAGGCTCTATTCACAACATCAGAAAGTAAAAAATGCATCCAGGAGACAGAGGCCAGTGCTCCAGCTGTATGGCCATCTGCCTTCCCAGCCTCCCATATTGTTCTTGCTTCGGAAGTTGCAATCCTTCATGCACCAGCAGTTTGGCTAATTGTTTCTCTGTCAAAATGCTTCACCATGCCCAGTCTCACAACCCAGGAAACCACTTCTCTCACTTTTGTCTAGACCATTCTCCTCATTTGGACTCCATGGTTTCATTCCGGACACCACTGCTACGGAGCATCTGTATGGGTATTAGGTTACCAGTCTCATTGGAAGAGAGAAAATAGCCCTGGAAGCTACGGTCTAACACATCAGGTTATGGTCAGTAATGGTGGCTCATCCTGACATCTGTTAGGATAGGCCTCATACCAATTAGCAAATGAGCAAATTGTGACCATGTGCTGCCCATTTTATTTCCAATGTAATGGTTAGGAACCTAATTGACAGCTAATGTTCCCATTAGAAGCTTTTAGTAGAGCAGTGTGATATTGGTTTGAAAAAAGTCACTGGACAATAGCTGCCTGAGCAAACTGGCCATGTCCTTCTGTTCTAAATTTAATAGTCACTGAGCATCTACTTTGTGCAATGTTCTGAAGAATATACCTTGGGTGGAAGGGATGGGAGTCTTGCTATGTAGCCCAAGCTGGTTTCAAATTTATCATTGAAAATTATCATTTCAAAATTATCATCTATCTGTTTACTTATTAATTCATTTATTTATGTGTGTGTGTGTGTGTGCCCCCGCGCGCACACATATGGGAAGGTGCATGTTTATGCATGTATGTATGAAGGTCTGAAAAGAACTTGTGGGAGTCTGTTATCTCCTTCCACCATGTAGGTCCTGGGAATCAAATTTAGGCCACAAGGCTTGTTAGCAATTGCCTGTACCTGCTGAGTTATCTTGCCGTCCCTTGAAGTACACACACTTTGAGACATTTCCCACAACAGCCCTATTAAGATTCAAAGTGTGGCCACTGGATTACGATAACGGGGGTTGAAATCTCTGCTCCCAAGTGAGCAGTGACTTTCACTTAGAAAAACTAGTTAACCTCTTTAAGTTTTGGTTTCTTCATTTGGAACATGGAGAGGAGGGTTAATACAAATCTAAATGTTCTGAAGAGTCATGTACACAGAAAGTCCAGAAAAGCACCCGAGACATAAAAAGTGCTCCAGTAATAATTGCTGTTGTTACTGTACACTATTGTCTTCATTGCTGTTTTTAAGAGACGAGGAGGCTGGTACCTGGGGAGGCAAAGTGACTGTGGATGTCTGGTGTGGAGGACTCTTGGCTTTCCTCTTAGTAGCTGGCTGTGATTGAACAAACCCTAAACCTCCCCGGGTCACAATCACTTCATCTTGCTACATCATGTATGGCTCCTGCTAGATAATCAATAAATACTCAGTGAATGAATAAATGACCCAAACTACAAACCCTTAGCTGGGTGTTCAGGTTCCTCCCCAGTTCTAATGGATGATCATGTTTTCCTTTCTCAAGAGATACACTCCTCCTTTGCATGAGTATCCAACTCAGGCCACGAGAGAAAATCGCATTGAGTGTTGTATGTAGTGTTTATTATTTTCAGTTTTCATTAAAGCTATGTTTCACATCAAGGTTTACACTTTACCCCTTTCTGCTTTTGAACAAAGTTGTTAATTTAAGAAAACTATAAGTGTGAAGCTCCTATTTAGTATCTGAGCTGAAAGTATGCGTGATCCAATAAACATTGCCATAAAATTTGCATAGAAATGATGTGGGAATAAAAACAAGTGGGAGTAATATTTATTCTCAAATTAGAACTATACAATCATGCGTTCCCTGTAATTACTGGTAAGGTTTGGGATTTTCATCTCCATGAAGAATTAAAAAAAAAAAAAAAACCAACTACTGAACAGACAAAGCTGGTGGGTCCTAAGGAGGCACAAATGTCTGTCTGTTAATTTTCCTAGTCTTTTCCCTCTCCCTTGATATTACCTCCAGGGGCCTTTGTGGGCACACAGAAGGCCTGCAGTAGGACTGAAAACCCAGCACATTATTCTACCCCTGCCATCAATAGGTGAGCTCTATTTCTCTACACTTAGGAGTCGGCTGGCTTTATGACTGGCTTCAATCAATAGAATGTCCTGGCAATGATGGAGCACAAATTCCAAACTAGATCTCAAGAGGGTTTTGTAGTTTTCATTTCTTGTAGCTCTTGGTCTTTTGCTATCCCGTGACTAAGTTCAGACTAGACCGCTTAAAGATTAGAGATCCACGTTGAACACAGACAAGCTGTTTCAGCTGAGACGCTCCTATGACAATCTGCTCCCAGGAGAACTGTCCGGCTGAGCGTAGAATTAACTTCCGATCCTCAGAATCATGGGCCAAAATAAGCTTGTCTTAAACTGAGTTTGAGATGGTGTGTTACAGAGCAAAACGAAAACTGACATAAGAAACAGTCTAATAAAACCTTCCTGTAATAAATATGACCGGGAAATATCTTAATGGCTCCTGTATCTACTGACATGGTTTATTTCATTTGGCCTCTTGTATGTGCAGGGAGGACCACATAGTTTATCTTCCAACCAGTATGCTCTCAGAGTAAGCTGAGACTGTCATTGGCAAGTTGGAGTGTACAGTCACCTTCAGTTTGCAATATCGTATTGAGGCAGATGTCTTTATGCTTTTTCTCAATCACAGAATGCCATGGCTGGTAAGGCATTTAGAGATCTTAGAAATCTTTATCAACAGTGGACAAAAATGGAATTCAGAGAAGTATAGTTTTCCAAGGTTGCTTAGCTTATGAGGTAGGATGGGGGAGCAAACTACCAGAGTCAGGGTAGTGGAATAAAAATGATTTGGACTCAGGAGCCTTAGGGTCAAGTCTCCTTTAACTGTTTCTGCGAAATCTTGCTTTGAGTTATATGTAAGTGTCTTAGTCAGGGTTACTATTGCTGTGATGAAACACCATGACCAGAAGCACCTTGGGGAGGAAAGGGTTCATTCGGTTTACACTTCCATTACTGTTCATCACTGAAGGAAGTCAGGACAGGAACTCAAACCAGGCAGGAACCTGGAGGCAGGAGCTGATGCAGAGGCCATGGACAAGTGCTATTTATTGGCTTATTCTTCATGGCTTGCTCAGTCTGCTTTCTTATAGAACCAAGGACCACCAGCCCAGGGATGATACCACACCCACAATGGACTGGACCTTCCCCAATCAATCACTAATTAAGAAAATGCCCTTCAGGTTTGCCTACAGCCCTATCTTATGGAAGCATTTTCTTAACTGAGGTTCCCTCCTCTCAGACGACGTTAGCTTGTGTCAGATTGACATAAAACTATGCCGCACAGCAAGCATGCCTTGGCTTAGTTACTAACTTAAAGACAGAGACTATGAATTTTGTGTTATCTCTTTCTATATCTCTGGCTGTCCTAGAACTCGCTCTGGAGACCAGGCTGGCCTCAAACTCAGAGGTCCACCTGCCTCTGCCTCCCCAGTGCTGGGATTAAAGGCATGTGCCACAACCACCCAGCTGCTACTATGTTCTTTTAATGACAACAGGTTCATGGGTGCTTTGGCCACTCAAGTGTAACTGAATGGTCACTACATAACTTCAGAGACAAGGGAACCAAAGACCATGCAACGTCTGCCTTCAGCTGTTAGAATGCTCACTCTTGGAGGTCTGACCTCTTATGAAGGGCATTGGGCTATCCTGGGGTCATCATGTCTTGAGGAACCAAAGTGCAGAGACAGGCCACGTGTGGGTACTCTGATAGACAACCTACCCTCAATCCATCTTTTCCCAGGTGCTATAAACACTAACAAAGAAGATGAACACAGTTCTCAGCTATAAGTCACCCCTAACCATGCAAGTCTTTCCAGCTGGAGTGCCAGGCTTAGTGACATGGACATAAACTATCTCTAGTGCACCCCACTTCCGTTCTCATCCCACAGGATCTGTGAGCAGAATAAAGTGGTGGTTGTTTTACACCCTTAAGTTCTGGGGGTGGTTCACATTTGATAGTCACTGAACAACCACTGCGACTGAAGCTTCAGCAGGTATGAGAAGAGGCACGCATGCGTCAACTCACTGTTGAACACAACTGGAAATGGACCACAGTGGCTACCATACTTTTGACAAGGGAGCTGTCTCAACAGGGCCTCACTCACAGGTTTGCGGACGTCAGGTAAGGTGATCCAGAGCGGGAGTACGATGGGAAGGACAATCAGGAATGTGACCTGCTTGCGGGTGTTGGATGGCCAGGACAGGCTGAGGGGCTGGTCATCCTCTTCCTCAGCAGTCTCTGTGGCCTGCTGCAGAACAAGAGGACAGATGTAAGTAGGCAGAAACTTGGGGAGTGCTGGGGCCCACAAACACGACTGCAGAGCAGGTGAGGGATGTCCTGGGCCTCTCCTGGGGGTGTCCCAAGCCACCCAAGCTGCTCTCACGGGCATTCCTGTGTTGGAAGCACCCCATCGGTCACAGCCCGAGGCTCCCCCTCCCCCCACAGAGCACTGTAGAACTTTCTTTTCATTCTTTGGGTGTCCTATGGCTTCTCATGTTTGTCAACTGATTATTTAACATTGACCATAGTTACTACTCATGATATATATCTCCAGCTGTGCTTCTTATTCAACTGTACAAAGTAATGGGTTTTCATGATATTTCCATACACGCATATAATGTACTTTGGTATGATTCACCTTATCCTTTTAAAAGAAAATCCACCCTCATGAACATTTTATGATTTACAATATCTGCTGATATAGTGATCTATGACTCCATCTCTGTTTCCCTAGGGCTGTGTTGTGTGATCTGGACTCCTTGGGAGGAAGAACTAGGGTAAAAAATTAAAATCCCTCTCTTCCCCCTTTCGCCCTCTTTCTGCTCTTTTTTCCTTCCCTGAAACTGCTGGTCACCAGGCACACAAAGCTCAGTTCGGAAACAGTTCAGTGATAATATCGGGATGTCCTAGCTCTGTTCACCCAAGAATAGACTCAATGATTTTTTTGCATGGATGTTCCTAACTTGCTTAATCAACTGGGTGAATTCTAAACCATTCCATTTGTCATTAAAGGCACATTATACAAACACACACCTCAGGACTCAGAGAAACAGGGCCAAAGGCTAGTGTAACACCCACCCTGCCCGCCTGGCATCTCAGAGGCAGGGTACGAACTCCCAGTCTCTCTGATCTGGCAGCCTGCTGCCTGCGTTTTGGTGGCCTCTGCTGCAGTCAACAGCTCTCAAGCCCCAGAGGCAAACAAGACAAAAGGCAGATCTGCCCAGCAGGATGAACATTAGTCCATGAGACGGGGCACAGAGTCCCCAGCACAGCACTGGTGACACCACCACATCACTGTCACCCTGCTTGTTTAGAAATGAAGCAGCAGCAGCAGCAGCAGCAGCAGCAGCAGCAGCAGCAGCAGCAGGCCAGAGCACCAAATCTAAAAGCAGGCGCCTTTGCAGTGACGTTTCCTTCAGATACCAGAGAGCGTCTTGCAGACTTCCAGTCACTGCTCGGTGACTCCTTCAAAGTTTGTGTCCCTAAGGAGTAGCAAGTGGGAAAAGCTTGGGCCAGATGTCTTAAGAGGAAATACTGGACTATGGAGTTCATGGCTGGGTGTGCAGATTCACAGCAATGCTACTCTTAGTTTATTTACTGCTACTTATTAGGGATCGACAAAAGGTCTGTAACGGTGAACGAGATTATCCACCCTTCAACCTTCTCTGGGATCCAAAACAAAACCAAACAAACAATTAAAAACAAAAAAACAACAAACCACGTGATTGAAAGCCATATTGAGAAAGACTGGAAATAACAGGTTTGTGGCAGTGGATAAGAATCCTCAAAGTACAAATGCGGGAGAATTATGGGGATTAGATAAAGAAGTTGGCAACCTATTTTGGTTATCCAAACTCTCACCAAGCACACACCTCGCCCCCTCCAACCCCTTTGTTAATGTGATGCAGGAGCTGTTGTTTTTACTCTTTCCTAGGGCCTCTGCTCCTGATCCTAGTCACGTCATCCTTGGAGGGGAGGTGACCTGCAGAGGAAACCATACCCCGTGGGCTCACATACCTAGGGTGCCATCTGGATACAAGAATGATAATCTGTGTGTCATGGGGCAGTGAAGACTAAGAAGGCTGGGGCACACGGTGTTTTCTTCCAGTGAGATCTTCCTCACGTAACCAAATGCGTGACTTTCCCTTCCACACCTGATAGGTACCCAGGAAATAGGCACCAAGAGTTGACGTACTATGGCAGTCTTCACGAGCACGGCATCTCGTACCAAGTAGGGGGTTTAATCCAGCAGAGGACGGGCTTTCCTGAAGACCAGTCAGTCCGTCTGACGAACTCACCAAGCTCCTCTTTCGGCCTGGGTAGCCTCCCCTCCCCGATCTGTCCCCTACTGCCATTCACAATTTAGCAACTTTTCTCTGAACTCCAAGCTACCCCCCCTTTTTTTTTTTGAGAAAAGACAAAAGCAACTCTTTATGACTCATATCATTTTAATGACACCAACAGATGGTGACATTTCATCAATAACCTTTCTGCTTGTAACCTACAGATTAGCTCCTTTCTCCATCTGCCGAAGTCACCAGGCAGGCAGTGCCGCTAGCAAATAGCAGAAAATAATTGTCTGTTTGCATGCCCAAGCTCTCAACACACGACTGTCCAGTGCAAACAATTAGCCGTGCTGTATAGGGTCCAAGGGTGGCGTTGAAGGAGGCTGTTGCTAGGGCAGGAGTGGACTAGGAGAAGAGGCTGTGCTTCAGGCTATGCCAACAGAAAACTTCACTCTTCGTGGGGACCAATTGCTGCTGCAGGGAAGTGAAGGGGTCTAGAACCCTGGGATGGATGTGAGAGGTGCCTCAGGAGCAAGCTGCCAGAACACCTCAGAAGAAATTCTTCTTGTCTTCTTGCCAAGGAAATCTCATTCTGGCTCAAGCTGGCTAGAGACACCACAGAAGGACACACTGTCCCAAGTTTAGGCCCTCTTTGTCTTTGCCTGAGCAGGAGATGCAATGCTTGCAGTAGACTTAGCCCCGAGCGAGGCCACTGAGGTCAGGGCAATGAGTTTTCAACTTTTCCTAGAGTTGTAGCATGCCAACTTTGACCTTGTGATGACCCACTCTTGCCTCCTAAAGTGTCTGAAGAGTGTCCCTAAGAAACAAGGCAAGGAGAGCAGGCTACAGCTGTCTAAGGCAGAAAGAATCCAAGTGATTTTTTTTTGATATAAAGGCTTAACATGGTTTGCTATCTGCTGGGGTCTTGTACAAGCACCATGGTTTCATAGTGACTAGATCTTTAGGATCTTGTAATCGCTGATATTAAAACACAAAACAAACAAAAAACAAACCTTAGAGGAAAAAAGCTTACTCAGCAGGGCATGAGGGTTTACACCTTTAATCCTAGTACTCCGGAAGACAAAGGCAGGAGGAGCTCAGTCTTTAAGGCCTGTCTGGGCTATATATAGTGAGTAGAAGGACAGCCTGGACTCACTCTGTCTCTCTGTCTCTGTCTCTCTGTGTCTGTCTGTCTGTCTCTCTCTCTCTCTCTCTCTCTCTCACACACACACACACACACACACACACACACACACACACACACACACACACCCGTAACGAGTTTCCCAAGTGATGGGTGCTGCACTGGCCCTCAGATCTAGTGAGGTGGGGAGAGTAGACAGCAGAATCAGGACTTGTAAGCCCCAGTTTCCAGATTTCTCAGGCAGCCTCTTCCATCACCTGAAGATTCCCAAGGGCCTTTAGGTATGAAGCGAATCATGAAAATCTAGGGCTCCTACTTCCAGGGCATCTTGCATTTAAAAGGAGAGACAAAAACCAGATGATCCCAAATGTTGGGGGCCTGCTTTTTCCCCCAAGGTACTCTTGAGCAGGGAGAAGTGAGGAATATGTAGATAGAAATATAGAGGGGAGAGACAGTTAGAAACATAGGATAGCCTCGGGAGGGCCTGGGTCAAAATTCACCAGCCCCTTCTGTCTCTACTAAAGGGCTTTTAAATGGATGCCAAGGGGTGGAGCAAAAGACCTCCCTACAGCACAGCCAAGTGCAGACCATCCCAGACACCTGGTGACCATGCACGTGGTCAAACCATCCCCTAATGCAGCTCTGCTGTGTAAAGCAAGCTCAGATCTTATTAGCAAGCTTTTGTGGGCTCCCACACCCAAAGCACTGACTATTGGATGCTTGCCAACATGGAAGGAGAATCTCATGGGGCCCCATCCATAGACAAAGAAGTACAGGCAAACAAGAAAAGCTGAGAGCAGGAGAAATAGTCTTCTCCAGGGGTGAGCTCCCTGATTGTTATCCAATACCAAACGGTCGTCCCTGAAATCACAAATGTACAAGTGACACTAAATGGATTGAGCAAGTTGTATTTATGTGTTTATGCACACACATAAATGTGTAACAACATCAAAGAAAACGAGGTCATGTATTTGTGGGGAACATTCGAAATGTTGAAGGAAGGAAAGGGAGGGAGAAATGGTATAAATATATTTTAACATCAAAATATTGAAAAAAAAATAAAGTTCAGGTGCTGTAGACACCAGTGAATATCAGGCTCTCTCACACAGCTCCTCTGCACCAGTGGTTCCCCCAGGTCACTGAAGGAAAGGTGGCAGCCAAGCCCAACAAGGAGATTTTACGTGGGCTTCACTGCTTGATGCTACCCCAGACTCCTGTAACTGTGGGTAATCCCATTTTGGCTACCTTTAAAATGGATATCTAGGGAACATTGTAGAAAATGAATGAAACCCTTTACAATAATAAACTTTCCTGGGACTAACGTTAGCAAGGGCTGGAATGGGAGCTGGGTCAGTTTCAGCCTCTGCCATTCAGTGTTTGAAGGTCATGATGCCTCCAGGGAAGACTGTGCACAGGAAAACAGCACTGTCTTTATCCTGGGACTACCTGTCTCCCTTTTCATGCTTGAAGCATTAAATAGAAGCTCTTTGGTAACATGCATCATCTCTCAAAGTAGGTCTCCATGGAAACTGGTGCAAAGGTATGTGGGTCTGGGCAGTGAGCCTGTAAGAAGCTCCCTGAGGACACCCCGATGGCACCTTGTCTAATGATGGGACAGCTGCAGAAATGCACAACAAACACAGACCCACTCTTCACATGGTTCCTATGAAATAGGAATTCTGTTCTAGAAGGTTCCTTTACAACATTGGTGCTATTGAAGAACTGAAATAATTCACGCAAAGTACTTAGGACAGTGTTTGGCACACAGTAAACACTCAAAACATGGCTGCTATCACTCTTAAAAAAATAGGCAGGAAA